AAACAAAACAAGCCGGTAAGGAACCAAACAGGAAATACGGATAGAGTAGAGCGGATGTAGATTTGACCAATCAGAGGCCTCCTGTCTGCGATCACCTGCAATTTCGGAGAGGTGCAGCAGAGTGTCCTTGACCCAAAGCCAATAAACTTCATATCGTTGTCCGTCTTCAATTTGTACTTCGTAAGGTTGAACCTGCTTATTTAGGATGATCTGATTTGTGTCATTATGTCGCTGTAAACTTTGTAAATCTATACGCCCTTAAACACTGTGGACGTCTTTCTGCAAGATTTAAAAAAACAAGAATATTTTTCTAATGGATGTTTGGCGTCACTGTTTCTCAGAGAAAGCTTTTGGTTTTTCAGTTGCAGCTGAGAAGGACTTTGTGGGATCCAGCCTGGTGTCGGTTCTTCACAAGCTGCTGTCAGATGAAAGGAGCGCGCCGGAGATCAAGTACAACTCCATGATCCTCATCTGTGCCGTCATGGGTTCAGGTGAGACCCGGATCTGCTCCTTCCTCCCTCTGGGTGTGTTTTTGCCCCCCCCTCCCGCGTGGTCTGATCTCTCCCTGCTCTCCTCTGCTTTCAGAGCCTCTCAGTAAGGAGGTGCAGAGCCTGGCGTTTATCGACGTGGTGTCCAAGCTGAGAGCTCACGAAAACAAGACTGTGTCGCACCAGGCCTCCCTGACGGAGCAGCGGCTAACCGCACAGAGCTAAATGACTGTGTCCACGCCACTCCCATGCCTGCCTGCCCACCTCACACCCGTCCCCCCACCTTCCCCCATTGTGTCCCATCGTCATGTGCCAAGGTACCGCGTCGCGTTAACTGCCAGCCAGACATCCAGCCCCCCCTCTGTCCCACAGCATGTCCCACAGCCTCCACCCTAGAACCGTTTTCTAAGCCAAGAGCAACTGTAATTTGTAATTATCGTTGAAATAAAACCCAATCTGCTCATATCCGATATGTTTAGGGTCAGGAAAGCTTCACATACTTTACGTTTGAAAGCCATAAAAATGACCGAGGTGGCCAGTGGCGAGCTGGGGTCGGACCTCGGTGGACGTCCGAAGTTCCCACCTCCCGTGTGTGCATGTCCGTTCTGAAGCTACAGACGAAGAGACGACGCTTGTTAAGACCACAGCTGTGACGCCCATCGTAACGACGTGCACAGGTTTGTTTTTCCAGCCACGTCTCCTGGAGCTGGATTATAATCCCAGTAGAACCAGTGCATGTTTTTGTCCCGTTCGAGCTGTGACTGTGTTCATTTTTTATTGACCTACGCTCCCACCGGCTTCGTTCTCAACTCTTTGGCTCCTAAACCCTCGATTCTTTCTAAGCCGCGGATTTAGCGTTAGCGAGATTTTAGCGTTTCATCCCTTGAAGAATGCTGGTGAAGATTCTTAGTCGTCCAGGTCATAGTCATTCCAAAAAAAGTTAAAAAACAATCCACTGGACTTTGTTTCCAAGTTTGAAGATGTTTCGCTTCCCATCCAGGAAGCTTTTTCTATTCAAAATGGCAGAATTAGCGTCATGTTCAATGCTTTATAGAGTGGACCAAAAACAAAGCCTTGTTTTGGCTTAAAAACATGCAAATTAAACCGGACGAACGGGTCCGCCCCTTTGGAATGGGGGTCGTTTGGGTTCTTTGTTAGCCTGTAATACCCGATACCCGTCTATGTCTCTGAAAGGCGGGTCGTTAGAAGGGATTGTTGGCCTGCCTGAATATGCGAGGTCTTCTGTTCCCCTCTGTTTAAGGTTGGTTTTTCTTTCCTTCATGCCCCTTTCAAAGCCCCCATCCTCTCTGTCCACAATGTGAACACTTTGGTCCTCATTACAGGGGATCAGCCAGGCCAACAATTCCCTTTAAAGAACCCCCTTTCAGAGACATAGACGGGTATCAGGTATAACTCTAATAAAGCCTGGAACTTGACGCCATTTCTGACATTTTGAATTGAAAAAGCTTCCTGGATGGGAAGCGAAACATCTTTAAACTTGGAAACAAAGTCCAACTTTTTTGGAATCCCTTGAAGAGGAGTCGGGACTTCCCGCGGCTAAGTTTGGGTTTGCTACGGTCATGTGAGCAGAGACGCCGGAGCTCTTCTCCTTGACCCAAACCCACCAGACTTCATACCGTTGTCCGTCTTCAATTTGTACTTCGTAGTTTCTCGGATTTTACCGTCAGAATATCGACCATATGCACATATATTAGCCAATCCCCTTTGACCAATTTAATCAATTTCAAACCATGTTTACAGAAAGTTTTATTAAAAGCTTCTAGTTGCAAATCTAAAATCTATCAACACATAGTGAAATCTGTGTAAAATGACTATTTATTACGCTGTGGATGAAGCTCATTTTTTGATATTTTGTAGATAATAGACGCTATGAAAACCTAACGGATTGGTTGTTGGGGGTTCCTGCTAACATGCCCATCTGAGCATGTGCGACACTGTGCCGTCACTCGGTGTGTCCCCCGGCCTGGGCCCGCACTTCTTGTTTTTAAAGATACATTTATTTATCAGATTAGTGATCTACTCAGACGCGCGCCAGTGGAGACGTTTCCATCGTAACCGCATCAAAAATATTGTCGACATACGTGTTTGTTGTAAATGTTATGAGTTGTACATTTGAAGGACTCAACAGACAATTAAAAAGATAATAGCTGGTGACGTGTGAAGTCTTTTCGTTTTTTTTTCTTTGTGTGTCTGACTTCGCAGGATTTACTTTCATTTAATTTCAGGGAGAAATCTGTGTTTGTAGAATTCAGTTTCATTTAAGGCAGGGAAAAAATTAGCAAAACACAAATTCCAATTCACGAATTCAGTTCCAATTTTAGCCGCATTCATTTACCAAAGATTAAAGCCTGGTTTATGCTCAAAAACCGGGTCGTCTGCGTGTTTCGCAGTTAACGCAGATATACCCCCTTTCTGCAGACACTCTGGTGCACCTCCCTAAAATTGTAGATGACCACAGATTGGTCAAATCTACATCCACTCTACACTATGCGTATTTCCCGTTTGGTACCTGATGGCAGAAACTCTTAACCTGACTCCGCCAGATGGATTTCCTCCGCATATCCATCTGGAAACGTTCCGTTGAAGTAATTTTGGGAAGGGG